TTTTTTAGTTTTGGATTTTTTAATATTCGAATTTTTATTTTTTTTATTTAGATTTCTCAATTTTTCATGTTTCAACTTTTCGATTTTCGAACTTTCGATTTTTCATGCTTTGATTTTTCGAAATTTCGATTTTCGAATTTTCGATTTTCCGATTTTCAGGATTTTCGTTTGTTGTTCTTTTTTTTAATTTCGATTTCCCGATTTTTCAGTTTCCTATTTGTGAATTTCCAGTTATCGATTTTTCAGATTTTTCGATTTTTTGAAATCTCGATTTTCGAATTTTTTGATTTTTCGATATTCGAATTATCAGTTTGTCTCCTTTTCGATTTCCAGATTTTTCAGTTTTCCAATCCCTAGAATGATGTTTTAACATTTTCAATTTTGAAAATTTTCAATTTCTAATTTTTTGGATTTTCGATTTTCCAATTTTTCCTTTCTTCAGTTTTTAGATTTTCAATATTTTTCTTTTCGATTTTTCGATATTCGAATTTTTATTTTTTTTTAATTTCAATTTTTAAGTTTTTCATTTTTTCCATTTTTTAATTTTCAGATTTTAGAATTTTCGTTTGTTGTTATTTTTTTTATTTCGATTTCTCGATTTTCCAATTTTTCCAATTTTCATTTTTTTCAATTTTCTGATTTTCGATATTTCGTTTTTTCACTATTTCGATTCTTGGATTTTTCGATTTTTCGAAATCACGACTTTGATATTTTTCCAGATTTTTTCGTTTTTCAATCCTTGGATGTTTCAAATTTTTGATTTTTCGAATTTTCAGTTTCTGATTTTTTGAATTTTCAATTTTGCGATTCTTCAGTTTTTTGACTTTTTTATTTTTTCACTTTTCGATTTTTAGACATTCAAAGTTCCGATTTTTCTGTCCTTCAGTTTTTCAATTTTTTAATTTTTTTGCTTTTCGATTTTTTAATTTCTCGAGTTCTCGAATTTTTGGTTCGTGGAAATTAAAATTTTCAATTTTTTTAATTTCGATTTCCCGACTTTTCAATTTCTCCACTGTTCGACTTTTCAATTTTGTGATTTTTCAATATCTCGATTTTCAAATTTTTGATTTTTCGATATTCGAATTTTCAATTTGTTTCCTTTTCAAATTTTCAATTTCTAATCTTTTGGATTTGAATTTTTATTTTTTTTTAATTTCGAATTTTCAGTTTTTCATTTTTTCGATTTTTCAATTTTCCGATTTGCGAATTTTCGATTTTCCGATTTTTCGTTCTTTTGGAATATTTGATTAATCGAATTTTCAATATTTCGATATTCGAATTTCCAATTTGATTCTTTTTCGATTTCCAGATTTTTCAGTTTTTCAATTTATAGATGTTTAAAATTTTCGATTTTTCGAATTTTCACTTTCTGATTTTTTGAATTTTCGATTTTCCAATTTTTCCCTTCTTGAGTTTTTAGACTTTCAAATTTTTCTTTTCGATTTTTCGATATTCGAATTTTTATTTTTTTTTAATTTCGGTTTCTCATTTTTTAATTTTTTCCATTTTTCAACTTTTCGATTTTAGAATTTTCAGTTTTGGATTTCGATACTTTTTTCTATTTATTTCGATTTTTGGATTTTTCGAATTTTCAGTTTTCCGATTTCAGGATTTTCGTTTGTTAATTTCTTTTTTACTTCGATTTCTTGATTTTCCAGTTTTTCCAATTTTTGACTTTGACGATTTTTCGATTTTCGAATTTTTGATTTTTCAATATTCGAATTTACAATTTGTTTCCTTTTCGATTTCCAGATTTTTTAGTTTTTCAATCTTGGATGTTCAAAATTTTTCATTTCTCGAATTTTCAATTTCTGATTTTTTGAATTTTAGATTTTTTAATTATTCCATTCTTTGGTTTTTTGACTTTTGAAATTTTTTAAGTTCTGATTTTTCTGTTCATTAGTTTCTCAACTTTTTTAATTTTTTTGCTTTAAAATTTTCAATCGATTTTTTCGATTTCCCAACTTTTCAATTTTTCCATTGTTCGACTTTTTAATTTTTCTATTTTAGAATTTTCAATTCTGTGATTTTTCGATATCTCGATTTTCGAATTTTTGATATTTTGGTTTTCCGGTTTTCCAATTTTAGATTTTCAAATTATTGGTTTTCCAATTTTGCGGATTTTCGTTCTTTCAAAGATTCGATTAATAAGTTTTTGTGCTTTCGAGATTCGAATTTACAATTTGTTTGCTTTTTGATTTCTCGTTTTTTCAATTTCTCAATTCTTCAATTTTCAAAATTTTCAATTTTTTGAATTTTCGACTTTTGAACTTTTTGAATCTACGGTTTTTCAATTTTTTTCTTCTCCAGCTTTTAGACTTCAATTTTCAACTTTTTATTTTTTTTTTATTTTTTTATGTTCGAATTTAAATTTTTTTTCTTCTTGATTTTCAATTTTTCCATTTCTCAGTTTTGTGATTTTACAGTTTTTTTTATTTGACGATTTTTTGGTTTTTCGAATATCGATTTTTCGTATTTTCAATTTATTTAATCGCGATTTCCCGATTTTTTCATTATTCGACATTTTAATTTTATTATTTTAGAATTTTCGATTTTTGGAAGCTCGAAATGTCGTTTTTTCTTTATTCCACTTTTTTGATTTTTCGAGATCTCGATTTTAAAATTTTTGATTTTTCGATATTCCGATTTTCCATTTTTGGATTTTCGAGTTTTCGGTTTTCCAATTTTTCGGATGTTCGTTTTTTCCAAGATTCGATTCAGAAATTTTTGTGTGTGTGCCAGATTCGAATTTTCTATCTGTTTGCTTTTTGATTTCCCGATTTTTCTATTCCCCAGTTTTAGACTTCTCAACTTTTTCGCTTTTTTATTTTACAGTGTACGAATTTTATTTTTTTTTATTTTTATGATTTTCAATTTTTCCATTCTTCAGTTTTGCAGTTTTTGCGATTATTTTTTTAATTTTTGATTTTTCGAATTTTCGATTTGTGGAAATTCGAATTTTCAATTTTTTTAATCTCGATTTCCCGATTTTTTAATTTTTCCATTGTTCGACATTTTAATTTTTATATTTTAGAATTTTCGATTTTTGGAAGCTCGAAATTTCGTTTTTTCTTTATTTCAATTTTTTGATTTTTCGATATCTCGATTTTTTGATTTTCCCATTTTCCATTTTTAGATTTTCGAGTTTTCGGTTTTCTGATTTGTCGGATTTTCGTTTCGAAAACTTTTGCGTTTTCGGGATTTGAATTTTCAATTTGTTCGCTTTTTGACTTCTCGATTTTTCAATTTCTCAGTTCTTCGATTTTTCAAATTTTCGATTTTTTAACTTTCAATGTTTGATTTTTGAATTTCCGATTTATCGCTAATCTTTATTTTTTGATTTTCCGATTTTTCAATTTTTCTGTTCTTCAGTTTTTAGACTTCTCAACTTTTTTATTTTTCGATTTTTTGATTTCTCGAATTCTGGATTTTTCGAATTTTCGATTTGTCTATATTAGAATTTTCAGTTTTTTTCAACTTCAACTTCCCAATTTTTCAAATTACCCATTTATTTTGTCGGCTTGTTGACTTTTTGATTCTCTATTTTTCAATCTTTTTACTTTCCGATTTCTCGAATTTTCAACTTTGTCTATTTCTCAATTTTTCGATTTTTCAATTTCTTTACTTTTCAAGTATCAATTTTGTCATTTTCGATTTTTTAACTTCCAGAAGATTTTTCGATTTTCGATTTTTTGCTTTTTTCGATTTTTAATTTGTCGGAGTTGGTTTTTACTTTATAGAAGTTGTCATAAAACAAAAATCACAAAGCCAAATTTTATAAATTTTTCAAAGAAATGGGATTGATTATGCTTTACTTCAAGAGCGAGGGAAGTTCTGTCGAAATAACCTTCTATAATTTTTTTTGTTTCTATAATGTTTAAATTAGTTAATCATTTCTCAAGCTAAGCTAAAATTAAAGCAATTTTTTGTTTAATAGTCCTCTTATTTGTGAAAAACGGTAATAAAAAAAATAATTGAAAACAAAAAGTTAGCAAAAAGTTACTTTTTCTCTAGTTTTTGAGTCATGGTCTGTATTCTTAAGTATTTTAAAATATTTTAACTTGAAAATAAAATGTTATTCCTCATTTTTGAAAAAAAAATTCGTTAAGAGATTTTGAGTACTTAATTTAGGTTTACAATTAAAAAACAAAAAAGCAAATCTATCAAAAAACAGATATTGAAAATACGAAGGTTATTTTAACAGCAAAAAAAAGTTTTCAACTTACAAAAATTGAAAAATTGATTAATAATTTCCCAAAAAATAAATTTTGTTAACACTCCAGAAAACACTCTAGTACACTGTCAGCGCAGCTAGTCTGTTCTAAAAAAACTAAAGCCATGAGTCCTGCAGCCATGATTTAATGCACCAGTTACATAACGACTAAACCAACCTGAGTTAGACTAAGTCAGAAATAACCACAGACCAAAATTCAGCTTTCCATACCTAAAACTGCATTAACCGGATGACCGAAAAAACCAACACGAAACTTAAAAGCAAATACGTCCATAAATCACCCAAACTGACTAACTCAAATTCGCCCAGTGGGTGTTCAAAAAGACCTGCCATCGCCGTAATTTTAGAAGTAAAAAAAAAAATCAAAAGAAACGCCAACGGATTTAGCTGTTCCATACTTCCCGACAGCTCCATAAATCCATAAATTATCAATTTCCTCGAAATAAAGCATTCCCGCATCTCGAACTTTCACCAAATCGCGAAAAACGCGCCTCACGTGCTTAGCGATGTATCACAGCCCAAAATCACAACAATAACCCGCTGCCAAAAGCTGCAAGCCCCCGAAAAAATTCCCCCGTGACTCAGGCGCCTCCTCGGCCGCATCCAGTCCTCCAGGTATCAAATTTCCGCAAAAGGTGTGGTTTTTATCGAAAAAGTCCATCTGTCATCCTTGCATCCACCGAAAATAGAACGCTGCTCAAAAGGCTATTCCCAGCATATTCAACTATGATGTGTCCCACCCCTCCATGCCGATGGGGTCGTGTGCAAAAACACTTTTATAGACTAGGAGCGGCGCTTTCGGGCATTCGAATTTCAGTGGTTGTAGTGTCAACACCATTGAGGACCTCTCCACGACTACTGTACGATTCCGACCAGGTACGCGAGTGCTTCAGTGCCCGAGTGCCAGTGACTGCCCGGTGCACCTGTGCCCTTATTTGGTAACCGACGGACGCCGCTGGCGCCGCGCCAGCGGCTAATTTTGGCGCGGCGTCGTTGTATTACGGCATTGGAACCGCGCCAGTTGACCTAATAAGAGCCGGGGTGCACCGCTGCACCGAACTATACCCGATTTGGACAACGCACGCGGACCCTAAACCCGACTAACCCTTGACACTTTTTCAGGTCGACTAAATCAAGATGCCTTTCAAGCCTATCGAAAACCCCAAATGCCCCAAGTGCCAGAAGTCCGTCTACGCCGCTGAGGAACGCGTAGCCGGCGGCTACAAATGGCACAAGTCCTGCTTCAAGTGCGGTAAGTTGGCATGGCGCGCTGTCAAAACGCGCTTGGCGCGAAAAGTTTGGAAGTGGAGCCCTGAGGGCCGAAAAATCACAAACCAAAAATTTTTGAAATCATTTCGCGATTAGAGATCATCGCTCGGTCAAAAATTTGCTTCCATAGATGACCAAACGGGTTTTGCTTAGAAATGAAAAGGTTCGGTACAGAAGTGGAGCCCTGAGCGATTTTAGGATTGAGATTAGATATGAATGAAGATACACAGTTGAGCATTTATTACATTTATGCTCGTGCTAGACTAAATACGGGTTTATCCAGATGTTTCTGCTACCTGATTGGACGTCGAGTTTCGCTTAGACCGCCGCAGATTTTATAATCTTGGTACAACGATTAATCAGACCGCCTTTATACTGAATAGGCCGAGCATATGTGATTTTTGATGCTTTAGATCAAACTCTAGATTTATTTGCAGCCAACTGTGTTAGTTTCAACTAAATTTTTAAAAGGGCAGCATTTCGAAGTACGCCACCTAGGGAAATTAAGACATATGAGGGGTTCTAATTATTTTAATTTAAAATTATATTAATAATTAATTAATTTGACCCTTGTTTGAAATATCTTTGATTGTTTTAATATTGGAGCTGGTTGGTTCATTTTTGCGGTGGATATTTTGAACAAATTTTGATGCAGCAGCATTATGAAAAGCATAAACCTTCGAAATTTACTTGATTATTATTTTGGACTTGGTCGATTTATCTCTGAACTCTTGAAAAGCATGAGCCCGTTTGCGGATCCTTGTGTGAGTTTTTGCGAGTTCTGGGGATGTTTGCAGGAATGTGCAGTAAGATGTTGATTTCTCGTAGCTTTTTAAATCGTTGCTGTTGGCCAAATTGGTCAAGTAGTCATGTACACAGTTGAGCATTTATTACATTTATGCTCGTGCTAGACTAAATATGGGTTTATCTAGATGCTTCTGCTACCTGATTGGGCGTCGAGTTTCGCTTAGACCGCCGCAGATTTTATAATACAACGATTAACCAGACCGCCTTTATACTGAATAGACAGAGAATATGTGATTTTTGATACTTTAGATCAAACTCTAGATTTATTTGCAGCCAACTGTGTTAGTTTCAACTAAATTTTTAAAAGGGCAGCGTTTCGAAGTACGCCACCTAGGGAAATTAAGACATATGAGGGGTTCTAATTATTTTAATTTAAAATTATATTAATAATTCATTATTTGACCCTTGTTTGAAATATCTTTGATTGTTTTAATGTTGGACCTGGTTCATTTTTGCGGTGGATATTTTGAACCTATTTTGATGCAGCAGCATTTTGAAAAGCAAGCGACACTTACTTGATTATTATTTATCTCTGATGAACCTTTGAAAAGCATGAGCCCGAACGGGGACCCTTGTGTGAGTTTTTGCGAGTTCTGGTGGATGTATATCTAGTGTAAAGTAGTCAGGTACACACAGTTGAGCATTTATTATAATGAAAAAAAAGTACCTTGTTTTTATGTTCATATTAGACTAAAAACAGGTTTATCCATATGCTTCTACTATCTGATTGGACGTTGACTTTCACTTAAATCATCGAAGACTTTATAATTTTTGTACCGTTATTAATCAGAGCGCCTATATACTCACTAGGCAGAGCATATGTGATTTTTGATGCTTTTAGATCAAACTCTAGATTTATTTGCAGCCAACTGTGTTAGTTTCAACAAAATTTTTAAAAGGGCAGCATTTCGAAGTACGCCACCTAGGGAAATTAAGACATATGAGGGCTTCTAATTATTTTAATTTAAAATTATATTCATAATAATTAATTAATTTGACCCTTGTTTGAAATATCTTTGATTGTTTTAATGTTGGACCTGGTTGGTTCATTTTTGCGGTGGATGTTTTGAACAAATTTTGATGCAGCAGTATTTTGAAAAGCAAGCGACACTTACTTGATTATTATTTATCTCTGATGAACCTTTGAAAAGCATGAGCCCGAACGGGGACCCTTGTGTGAGTTTTTGCGAGTTCGGGTGGATCTTTATCTAGTGTAAAGGAGTCAGGTACACACAGTTGAGCATTTATTATAATGAAAAAAAAGTACCTTGTTTTTATGTTCATATTAGACTAAAAACAGGTTTATCCATATGCTTCTACTATCTGATTGGACGTTGACTTTCACTTAAATCATCGAAGACTTTATAATTTTTGTACCGTTATTAATTAGAGCACCTATATACTCAATAGGCAGAACCTATATGTTTTTTGATGCTTTTAGATCAAACTCTAGATTTATTTGCAGCCAACTGTGTTAGTTTCAACAAAATTTTTAAAAGGGCAGCATTTCGATGTACGCCACCTAGGGAAATTAAGACATATGAGGGGTTCTAATTATTTTATTTTCAAATTATATTAATAATTAATTAATTTGACCCTTGTTCGAAATATCTTTGATTGTTTTAATGTTGGACCTGGTTGGTTCAGTTTTGCGGTGGATATTTTGAACAAATTTTGATGCAGCAGTATTTTGAAAAGCAAGCGACACTTACTTGATTATTATTTATCTCTGATGAACCTTTGAAAAGCATGAGCCCGAACGCGGACCCTTGTGTGAGTTTTTGCGATTTCTGGTGGATGTACACCTAGTGTAAAGTAGTCAGGTACACACAGTTGAGCATTTATTATAATAAAAAAAGTACCTTGTTTTTATGTTCATATTAGACTAAAAACAGGTTTATCCATATGCTTCTGCTATCTGATTGGACGTCGACTTTCACTTAAATCATAGAAGACTTTATAATGTTTGTACCGCTATTAATCAGGGCGCCTATATACTGAATAGGCAGAGCCTACGTGTTTTTTGATGCTTTTAGATCAAATTCTAGCTTTATTTGCAGCCAACTGTATTAGTTTTAACAAAATTTGTAAAAGGGCAGCATTTCGAAGTACGCCACCTAGGGAAATTAAGATGTATATGAGGGGTTCTAGTCATTTTAATTTAAAATTATATTAATAATTAATTAATTTAACCCTTGTTTGAAATATCTTTGATACTTTTAATGTTGGACTTGGTTCATTTTTGCGGTGGATATTTTGAACAAATTTTGATGCAACAACATTATGAAAAGCATATATCTTCGACAATTACTTGATTATTACTTGGTCCACTTATCTCTAAAACCTTGAAAAGCATGAGCCCGAATGCGGACCCTTATGTGAGTTTTTGCGAGTTCTGGTGGATGTACACCTAGTGTAAAGTAGTCAGGTACACACAGTTGAGCATTTATTATAATAAAAAAAAACGTACCTTGTTTTAGATCAAATTCTAGATTTATTTGCAGCCAACTGTGTTAGTTTTAGCTAAATTTTTAAAAGGGCATTATTTCGAAGTACGCCACCTAAGGAAATTAAAACATATATAAGGGGTTCTAGTCATTTTAATTTATAATTAATTAATTTAACCTCTGTTTGACATATATAAAGCATAAGCATAAACCTTCGATACTCGAACGCGGACCCTTGTGTGAGTTTTTGCGAGTTCTGGGGATGTTTTCAGGAATGTGCGGCAAGATGCTCGACTCCACCAACTGCACAGAGCACGAGGCCGAGCTGTACTGCAAGAACTGCCACGCGCGTAAATTCGGCCCTAAGGGCTACGGTTTCGGCGGTGGCGCCGGCTGCCTCAGCATGGACACCGGTTCTCATCTCCAGCAAGGGTGAGTAGCCGCCGCTGCAGTTTTCTGTACACTTGAGTAGAGGTATCGGTGAAGGCTATTGAATCCGAGTTACTTGAGGGCTTTCCTTATCTTGTCTTGTGTGCCTGAATGTGCAAGTTAACATTTCTGATTGCTCGCGGTGCTCGCTAATCAGAAGTGTTGCTTGGGTGAAGCCGATGCCGAGTTTTAACTTGAATTGAGTGTCAACTGAGCATGACGTGTCCCTTTTCTGTCTATCGTAGCTCCTAAGGGATCAGCCGGGGACAGAAGCGCGGCCACCGACACCAGCAACGCCGCCCCAAACCTCCTCCTTCCATCCCACGTGTAATTAATTATATGTTGTGTTATATTTATAGATTTTAAATAACAAATAGGGTTACTGTTTATAAAATTGTTTTACATGGTACAAACAATTCGATTATTTTGTAATAATTGAATCGTAATAAACACGTCAGAAGTAGCTTTCGTTTCATACACAAACAAACACACCTCGAAAACACTGTCGAAGTGACGTAGGTCATACTGTCCTTACTCACTCGCCGCAACCGAACTACAGGAGCGTGAACGGTGAGACTCGTATGGTTTAAGCATGGCTAGGCTGCTCTTCGCTATTAACATAGTTGTCATCCTTCCCTAACTCCAGTGATGGGATAAGGAAGGTGCCCTCAAGTATATCTAGCAAATTCTTAGCCGCTCAATTCCGGGACCGACTTTACCTTCTCTCATTACGCACTCTTCTCTTTCTTCTTTCTTTCAAATACAACGACAGACCTCATTTTAGGCGCAGCTTCCACGCAACACGCTTTTTTCTCTACCCGCATGACCCTCCGCCGCCACCCGATTCACGTTTTTTCTGCTTCTAGCGACGACATCGTCACTTCCCGAGCCCCCCTTCTACCCAAGGCCATCGCCAAGGCCCCCGAAGGCGAAGGATGCCCCCGATGCGGAGGCTACGTCTACGCCGCCGAACAAATGCTAGCCAGAGGAAGAGTAAGTTGCTAAGCTCCGCTTCCTTCTCTCTTTCACACCTTATGACTAGGGCTGGCACAAATTTTGTTTTCGTTGTAATAACTGCTCCCGATGGCTGGACTCCACATCACACTGTGATGCCCCAGACGGGGAAGTTTATTGCAGAGGTATGAGCCTCCGGAGTGCCCCCTTCTACGTCCGTTTTCTCTCTATCTGTTCTTCAGTGTGGCATGACTGTGTTGTCTTACTCGTACTGTTTTGTGTTCAAGGCGTTCCACAAGTCCTGTTTCAAATGTGGACTGTGTACTAAAGGGCTGGACTCCTTTAACGTCACTGAAGGTCCTGACAAGGATATCTATTGTAAAGGTGCGTGGAGCACTGTGACGTCACTGTGTCGTTGCGTGTGCAGTTACGTCACCGCGGGCAGGGCCGCGGTAGGGTCGGTGTAACTGTCTTTGGGACTAGTAGGTATTATGTCGTTTCTAAGAAAGACAGCTTCAATATCAAAATAATTTATCTGGTTGTCACTCTTAAAACCGACATGATAGGTCAAGGCATTCTACCTGGGACGAGAATGTAGCCCCTTGTAGGCCCTGCCGCGCCTCTCTTAAGCTGGTATCCGTGAATGATACTGTGTTGTCCCTAGTTTGTTACGGAAAGAAATTCGGCCCGAAGGGATATGGTTACGGCCAAGGCGGTGGCACTCTTCAGAGCGATTTAACCGCAGACAGGTTGGTATCAATCCTCCTGCCGCTCTCCACCTGCACTATCTAAATGATTTGTCCGTATATTCCAACAGCTTGCTATGCTCAACGCTTTGGTCCTCGAGGAATCGGTCACGCTGGCGGCAATTTCCTTGGTCTAACGTGCGATGCTTTGGATAACGAATGGCAGAGGTACCGGCTGTCGTAAACTCAAAGTACACACCTCTGTCACGCCTAACTCCCTGCTCACTAACCCCCTCTTGGCTTGTAACGCGTGCGCCCGTCTCCGACTCTGGGCTAATCGCGGCCTTTTAGCGAGCAGGCGCCCAGGACCACGGTGATCGACACCGCCTGCATCAAGGCTCCCCCAGGTCAAGGCTGTCCTCGTTGCGGCGGCGTCGTCTTCGCCGCGGAAGAGGTCCTCGCCAAAGGAAGACCTTGGCATCGCAAATGCTTCAAGTGTAAGGACTGCAAAAAGACCCTGGACTCGATCATCGCTTGCGACGGACCCGATAGCGATGTCTATTGTAAGACTTGCTACGGCAAGAAGTGGGGCCCTCATGGATACGGCTTCGCTTGCGGCTCAGGTTTTCTACAGACTGATGGGCTAACGTAATTATCCCTAAACCCGACGCATCCACACCCTCACCCTTTTACTTACAGCGAAGACGAGATATCTCAGCAACGACCTTTCTATAACCCCGACACGACCTCTATCAAGGCTCCACCTGGACAAGGTTGCCCAAGATGCGGAGGAATGGTTTTCGCTGCCGAACAGCAACTGGCTAAAGGAACGGTACGTCCGAAACCCTCTTCTTCAAAACCACGTTAACTGATCTGATCTTTCTTTTAGATGTGGCACAAGAAGTGCTTCAACTGCGCCGAGTGCCACCGCCCCCTTGATTCCGTTCTGGCTTGCGACGGTCCCGACCGGGAGATCCACTGCAGGGCTTGCTACGGCAAGCTGTTCGGCCCTAAAGGGTTCGGGTTCGGTCACACCCCCACCCTGGTGTGCGCCGACGGAGCCCCCGCCGCCATCCACAACGACGCCAGGCCCAACAGCGGTCCCAAGGCCGCCCCCGGGCAAGGCTGCCGTCGTTGCGGCTACGCCGTCTACGCCGCTGAGCAGATGCTCAGCAAGAACGGCATCTGGCACAAAAGGTGCTTCAGCTGCGTTGAATGCAAGCGCTCTCTGGACTCCACCAACCAGAACGACGCCCCCGACGGCGAGATTTACTGCCGAGGCTGCTACGGCAGGAATTTCGGGCCCAAAGGGGTCGGTTTCGGGATGGGTGCTGGTGCTTTGACGATGGCTTAGGACGTCGAGTTTTTCGGGCACGCTCGGCCGGCCCGGTCAGCTGGGGCCGGTCGAGGGTGTACTATCTTTTAGCTTGTGGTTTTAGCACGAATAATCATATTACTAAAATGATGCTTGAGAACGCATATTTTTTGAGAAATCGATTTTTTTGGAATTCCATTTTTGATAGAGGAGACGCCAGAAAGGGAACAAGACTCGAACGGCTTATTCCGTTTATAACCAGTTGTTTAAGAATTATGAAAGACTTCCTCGAACGACCAGGGTAAACCTGAGATTTTTTTGTACATATCTACACCGGCCACAATGTTGGTCTATATACGGCTTTGCGCTTCGCTATGTACTCGATTGTTTTTATGCTATTTACAACGTAAGTCATTTTTGTCTAGATGTACTTTAATTGTATATTACGTTAATAAAAAGCTAATAAAATTACCAAAAAATCGACAATGACTTTTGTCTTTCCTTATCCCAATACATCTTATCATGAATTATGACAAACAAAGAAAAGTTGATCTTTCAACTGAAAGCGAAACCGCAGAGGGTCTCGAGGTCGTTACATACTGTCTAAATCCAGCAAGCTTATAAAACAAAACGACTGTAGCGGCACAATACAATGTAAGTAAGCAAAGATAAGCGCCTCTGTAGTCTAGTGGTAAGGGCACCCGCCCGGCAAGCGGTAAACATACGGTTCGATTCCCACCGAAGAAGCAACATTTTCCTTTGCTTACCTACACGACTTTATATCTGGATTACAGTTTTACAAACATCGTATTTAACTTCAGTTACCCAATGTATGTATGCAATCAGAGTCCGAGTTATGCAATGTCTTACGAAAATCTCCGCTCTAAACAAATTCTGAAAAACTGCTGGAGTTAACAAAAAAAAGACAGGAAATGACTTGTAGAAACCTACAAAAGAATGTTAAATAGTTAATTTAAGAAAGTGCTCGAAAATGGATCCAAATTTGAAGAAGGAGGGAGTATTGAGAAATTTCACTTAAGAAAAAAATGTTATTTAAAAATCGACAAAAAAAAATGGGATGTAGATCTCGACGTGCCCAATCGAAAATTTCGTGTGCTTATTATCAGAATATCATAATCCTCAAATCCTCAGAACACCATAATCCTCAAATCCTCCAAGTTATTATACTGCACAAATTGTGGTCGAAAAAGGTTTAATAATTTAGGAGTGAAACCAAAATTTACAAGCTTTTTAAGAAGAATATTGTGTCCAATTTGAACAAATGCCTTTGTAAAGTCTATATAGATGACATCGACTTGTGATTGATCTTCTAAATTGTCAGACACAAATTGTTACAGAAAGCAGGGAAATTGGTCTGTAATTTTCAATTTTAGATGCATCACCGGACTTCAAGACAGGACAAATCTTAGATTGTTTCCACTGATTAGGGAAAACCTCTGTTTCAAGAGATTTATTAAACATTGTTAGGATTGGATTGGCAATTTGGAACTTACAATCCTTAATTATGAAGCTTGGGATCTGATCTGAACCTGATCTCATACCTGGTTTCAATCTTTTGATGGCTGTTATTATATCATTTTCCGTGATCTTAAATATATTAACGACAGATGAAGTAGAATTTACAATGTTAGCTAAATAATATTCATCTAATGGATCAGATTCAACAAGAAATCAAGAAATCACCAAAGGCATTAACTATTTCAATAGGATTTTCAAACTTGTTATTATCGAAAGACACTTGGCCTGGAATTCTAGATTTACCTTTTTTAGAATTAAAGTAACCCTAGAAGTGCTTAGCATCACGATGTGGATCAATTTGAATGTTGGTGATATATAATTTATATATAAGCAGTATTTATTTGCTTTTTTAAAAAGGCTCTACTTTCTTAAAATTTCATTAGGTAAAAATGTAGACCTGAAATTCTGTATTTCTTAAGATATTTCAAATCCGCAGAACAGCATAATCCTCAAATCCTCAAAACACCATAATCTTCAAATTCTCAAAATAGCATAATCCTCAAATCCTCAGAACAGCATAAAGGACGAAGGACCAAGGACCAAGGACCAAGGACCAAGGACTAAGGACGAAGAACGAAAGACGATGGACGAAGGACGAAGGACAAAGGACAAAGGACTAAGGATTAAGGACGAAAGATGAAGGACTAAGGACTAAAGACGAAGGACGAAAAACGAAGAATGAAGAACAAAGGACGAAAGACGAAGAACCAAGGATCAATGACCAAGGATCAATGACCAAGGACCAAGGACCAAGGACAAAAGACTAAGGACGAAGGACGAAGGACGAAAGACGGAGGGCTAAGAACGAAGAACAAATGACTAAGGAATAAGGACGAAGAAATGAAGACGAAGGAATAAAGACGAAGGACGAAAAGGGCGAAAAGGACGAAGGACGAAAAGGACGGAAAACGAAAGGACGAAAGACGAAAGGACGAAAAACGAAGGACGAAAAGGACGAAAGACGGAAAGGACGAAGGACGATAAGAATGAAAGACGAAAAGGAAGAAGGAAAAAAAGAACGAAGGACGAAAGGACGAAGAACGAAAAGACCAAGGACGAAAAAGTACAAAGGACGAAAAGGACGACAAGGAGGAAAGACCAAAAGGAGGAAAGACGAAAAGGACGAAGGACGAAAAAGGACGAAGGACAAAAAGGACGAAGGACGAAAAGGACGATGGATAAAAAATACGAAGGACGAAAAGGACGAAGGACGAAAAAGGACGAAGGACAAAAAGGACGAAGGACAAAGGAGGACGAAAAAGGATAACAAGGACGAAAAAAGACGGAACAGGACGAAAAAGGACGGAAAGGACGAAAAAGGATAATAAGGACGAAAAAGGACGAAAAGGACAAAAAAGGACGACAAGTAGGAAAAAGGAGGACAAGGGACGAAAAGGATGAAAATGGACGAGAAAGGACGAAAAAGGACGAAGAGAACGAAAAATGACGAAAATGAAAAAGGACGAAGCGAACGAAAAATGACGAAAATGACGAAGAAGGACGAAAGAGGACGAAGAAGAATGAAAAAAGACGAAAAATGAGGAAAAGGACGAAAAGTAAGAAAAAGGACGAAAAGGGTGAGAAAGGACGAAAAAGACGAAAAATGGCGAAAATGACAAACAAAAACGAAAGTGGACGAGAAAGGACGAAAAAGGACGAAAAAGTACGACAAGTAGGAAAAAGGACGAAAAGGACGAATAAGGAAGAAAAAGGACGAAACGGACGAAAAAGGAAAAAAAGTACGAAAAAGGACGAAAAGGACGAAAATCAGGAAAAGGACGAAAAAGGACGATAAAGGACAAAAAGGGCGAAAAGTAGGACAAAGGACGAAAAAGACGAAGAAGAAAGAATACGGACGAAAAAAGACGAACAAGGGCGAAGAGGACGAAAACGGACGGAAAGGACGAAAAAGGATGAATAAGGACGGAAAAGGACGAAAAAGGACGAGAAAGGACGAAAAGGACGAAAAAGGACGAAAATGGAGGAAAAAGGACGAAAAGAACGAAAAGGGACGAAAAAGGACGGAGAAGGACGAAAAGTAGGAAAAAGGACGAAACGGTACGGAAAGGACGAACAAGGACGAAAAAAGACGAAACAGGACGAAAAAGCATATAAGGACGACAAAGTATAATAAGGAAGAAAAAGGACGAAAAAGGACGAGAAACGACGAAAAAGGACAAGAACGGATAATGAGAACGAAAAAGGACGAAAAAGGACGAAAAGTAGGAAAAGGGACGAAAAAGGACGAGAAACGACGGAAATGACGAAAAAGGATAATAATAACGAAAAAGGACGACAAGTAGGAAAAAGGACGAAAATGGACGGGAAAGGTTGAAAAAGGACGAAACGGGACGGAAAGGACGAACAAGGACGAAAAAAGACGAAACAGGAAGAAAAAGCATAATAAGGACGACAAAGTATGATAAGGAAGAAAAAGTACGAAAAAGGATGAGAAAGGATGAATAAGGATAACAAGGACGAAAAAGGACGAAAAAGGACAATAAAGGACGGAAAGGACGAAAAAGGATAAAAAGGACGAAAAGTAGGAAAAAGGACGAGAAAGAACGAAAAGGACGAAAAAGAACGAAAAGGACGAACAAGGACGAAAAAGGACGAACAGAACGAAAAAGGACGAATAAGGACGAAAAAGGACGCAACAGGACGACAAAGGACGAAAAAGGATAAGAAGGATGAAATAGGACGAAAAAGTATAATAAGGACGACAAAGTATAATTAGGAAGAAAAAGGCCAAAAAAGGACGAGAAAGGACGAAAAAGGATAACAAGGACGAAAAATACGAAAAAGGACAAAAAAGGACTGAAAGAACAAAAAAGGATAAAAAGGACGCAAAAAGGGCGAAAAGTTGGAAAAAGGACGAAAAAGGACGAAAAGGACGAAAATGAATCTAGAAAGGACGAAAAATAGGAGTAAGAAAGAAAGAGGACGAAAAGGACGAAAAAGGACGAAAATGGACGAAAAAGGACGAGAAATGATATTAAGGGCGAAAAAGGACGTAAAGTAGGAAGAAGGACGAAAAAGGACGAAAAGTGGAAATAAGGACGAAAAAGGACGAAAAGGACGAAAAAGGGCGAATAAGGACGAAAAAGGACGCAACCGGACGACAAAGGACGAAAAAGGATAAGAAGGACGAAATAGGACGAAAAAGTATAATAAGGACGACAAAGTATAATTAGAAAGAAAAAGGACAAAAAAGGACGAGAAAGGACGAAAAAGGATAACCAGGACGAAAAACACGAAAAAGGACAAAAAAGGACGGAAAGAACAAAAAAGGATAAAAAGGACGCAAAAAGGGCGAAAAGTTGGAAGAAGGACGAAAATGGACGAAAAGGACGAAAATGGATCTAGAAAAGACGAAAAATAGGAGTAAGAAAGAAAAAGGACGAAAAGGACGAAAAAGGACGAAAATGGATCTAGAAAGGACGAAAAATAGGAGTAAAAAAGAAAAAGGACGAAAAGGACGAAAAAGGACGAGAAATGATAATAAGGGCGAAAAAGGACGAAAAGGAGGAAGAAGGACGAAAAAGGACAATAAGGACGAAAAAGGACGAAAAGTAGGAATAAGGACGAAAAAGGACGAAAAAGGATAAGAAGGACGAAATAGGATGAAAAAGTATAATAAGGACGACAAAGTATAATAAAGAAGAAAAAGGAGTAAAAAGGACGAGAAAGGACGAAAAGGATAACAAGGACGAAAAACACGAAAAAGGACAAAAAAGGACGGAAAGAACAAAAAAGGATAAAAAGGACGCAAACAGGGCGAAAAGTTGGAACAAGGACGAAAAAGGACGAAAATGGATCTAGAAAGGACGAAAAATAGGAGTAAGAAAGATAAAGGACGAAAAGGTCAAAAAAGGACGAGAAATGATAATAAGGACGAAAAAGGACAATAAGGACGAAAAAGGACAAAAAATAGAAATAAGGACGAA